AAAAGGAAGAGATTTAATGGATTTACGGTTCCACATGGCTGGGGAGGCCTCACAATTATGATGGAAGGCAAAGAGGAGCAAGTCACGTCCTACATGGATGGCAGCAGGCAAAGAGAGAGCGAGCTTGTGCAGGGAAACTCCCATTTTTAAACCATGAGATTTCGTGAGACTCATTCCCTATCGTGAGAACAGTGCAGGACAGACTCACCCCCATAATTCAATCACCTCCCACCAGGTTCCTCCCATGACAGGTGGGAATTGTGGGAGTTACAATTCAAGATGAGATTTGGGTGGGGACACAGCCAGACCATATCACCCCTTTTCCCCACAGAGGACAGCACAGGGGAGTCTGGTGCTTCCTCAGGGCCTGTGTGCACAGGGCCCCACATCACTGAGCTCCTGACATGGCCAGCCATGCCAGTAAGCCGCGGGTGGAAGGCACCCCTCCCATGGCGACACTGCCAGTCAGATGGCATCGAGCAGGAGGAGCAGCAGATGATTGGGGACAGTCCTGCAGCGCACCACATGGGACCTGCTGCACCCAGCTCTTACCTGGTCAGCTCAATGCACCTTCATGGAGGAGACCGAGGCACAGAGAGGCTTCAGAAGCAGGAAGCATCCCAGTCCTGCGCCCTGAGCATGGTGTGAATGGTGAGAAATGGTGGGAAGGAGCCAGGGGAGGACGGGCCTGCAGGCCCCAGAGAGGAATCTTGCCTGCATCCTACCCTCTGAAAGGTTTACGCAAAGGAGGCGACAGGATCAGGTCTGTGTTTCCTGACAGTCACAGCAGCTGCCGTGAGCGCTGGACCAGAGGGCGGCGTGAGGGCAAGCGAAGCCCAGAGTGGCCCAGGAAGGTAGTGTGGACAGCACTGACCCCGGTACCAGGGCCCCACATGGCCTTGGAGACCCCACTCCTTCCCTCAAGCTCTCCAGAACCTGGGTCCATGTGAGTCACACACGCAGGGGCTGTTGACTTCTTTCCCTTACATGTTGGTACAGCCCCCACCTAGAGGTTCTGCCTCCAGGAGAAACCCACATTGGTGCATGGCTATTTCAAGGTTGAATTCTTGTGATAAAGTTTGAGAACCTGGAGTCCCTACTTAATTCAGGATGGCCGACCAGCCAGGATGACGCGGCTCCTTCGTGGCCGAGGACAGCCACCCAAGGGGCTTCTCTACATGCACAGCAGGTCACTCTGTTGATGGGGTCACTCCTTAGACTTACACCAGCCCTTCTCTCCCCAGGACTAGGGACATTGATTTGCTACTTACGGGACTATTTAGGACCTCCGGGGAGGTCCCACGACTCCTGTGTTCGCTTCCTGAGGCTGCCGTAAACAACTGCTGCAAACTTGGTGACTCAAAGCAACAGGAAGTTATTATCCCACAGCCTGGGAGCCAGACGGCTGAGATCAAGGGCAGGGCGGGTTCCCCTCTGGAGGCTCAGAGGGAGAATCTGTCCCAGGGTCTCCAGCTTCAGTGGCTCTGGCAATCCCTGGCTTGTGGCTCTCTCCAGCCTCTGCCTCTGTCACCACGGGACCATCCCTATGTGTCCCTTTCTGTCTCACAAGGACACTCTCCCTGGGCTTAGGGTCACCCCAATCAACACGACTTCATCTCACGCCCTCGTTTCATTACATCCGCAAAGACCGACCCTCTTCCCAAACAGCCAGATTCTGAGGTGCTGAGTGTACGTGAGTTCTTCAGGGACGGTATTCAACCCCTGAAGTTGGGGTGACTGTTCCTCAGTCATCCATCCTCCATCCGGCAGGGGTCTTCCCAGGCCCCCCTAGGAGAAGTGAGGGGCAGCGTTGAAACCCAGGGGCCTGGCGCGAGGTGGATCTGCCCAACCTGCAGAGAAGCTCCCGGGCCCTGCACAGCCTCCCGTGGACCTGCTCAGGTGTGGCTTTGGCTTGGGTCAGAAGAGCCAGTGGGGCCCGTCATCACCAGCAGAGTGCGGCAGGTGGAGCGCCAGCACCCTCCAGGCAGAAAGGGTTTACATTCTTCATTTCCCGTCTGTAGGGCGGTGTCCTGCACAGGGCCAGGGAGACCCCACTGTGCTCGGGCCGTGCGAGACAGACACCCACCTGAGTACCTCCCGTGGGCAGGTCACCGGCTGCTCCTGAGCCCTATGTCTCTTTCTCTGTCAAGGCCTCAGCGCACCTCCCGGTAAGTGCTACCCGAGGTTGCTACGGATGAGAGCCGCAGCGCCTCCGTCCACAGGGGAAAAGCGGCCATCAGGGAAGCAATAATGGCTGTTTCCCCACCCTCTTAGAACCTGAGGCAAGAATTTTTAAAAGTGCCTTATTTCTAAATAGACAAACATAGCATTAAATCATTATCAGACATGAGAAATGCAAAGCAGCTCGTCTGGCTTGCATTTGACTCCATTTAGTGAAAAGTAGCTTTCAACAGGGGCAGGAGGAGGGAGGAGCGGGCGGGAGAAACGAAATCACAGCTGAGAAATGCCCGTGATGGGAATGATAACAGGCCCTTTGAAAGGCACGCGGCTTTGCACGGAGAGAGCAGCGGCTCAGCGTGGCGCCCTCGTCGGGGGGTCCCAGGCACCCCTGTCCCCGTGGGCAAGTGCCACAGGGCCCAGCTTCCTCACGGGCACCCCGGCTCTGCCAAGACGGACCTACGACTGGCAAGAGGGGAGTCGGGAGTGAGTAAACACGCCACCCACACCTCGGGTTCTGGCACAGGACATTGTGGGCTCATAAAGGAAGGGACAAGGCCGGTGTTTTGCAACCCAGAGCATGCAGCAGGCTCGACCTGGGGTTTGTGCCCAGCAGAAGAGACCCCTCCCCGAGATGCCTCTTCTACTGGAAGGCCAGGGGACACCCAGAATCACAACCAGTTGCAGGCCAGCAGCGGAAGGCATGGAGTCCTGACGGGCTGGCCCAAGCGGAAGGAGCCCTCTGGGGTGGACAGCTGTGGAGGTTTCCCAGGCCTCAACCCAGCCTCAGGGAGCCAGCAAGAGGCACACGCGCCACGAGCACTGAGGGTGGGGGCTGCGGGGTGGAGGCCAGGCAGCCACGGCATTGCCGCCCCCCACGAGGACAGGGCTCCATGCTGACGGAGGGCCGGGATCAGGGCTGGGGGACTCATGGGACACAGCACCTGTCCACTCCAGTCCACCAGCTCCTCCCCTGGCCCACATGACCCCCTGCCCTGGCACAGCCCTGCAGGCCCCTCTCCAGCCTCTCCTGCCCCGCTGCCCCTTTGCAGGGCCCCTGCCACTCCGTCCTCTCCCCGCTGCCTCCTATGTGGAGAGGCCCGACCTCCTCTGAACTAAAGCCCCTCTTCATCCCCTCACCCTGCTCCCCTCAGACCCTCAGTGCCGCCTGGCAGAGCACAACAGGTCCCCGTGTGATCATCTGGGCCCCCGAGAAAGCCAGGTCCTGGGGCGGGCAGCATCCGTCTCCGCCGACCGGGGCAGCGCTCTGTCCACACCCGGGTTGAATGAGGGCGCGAGGAGCGTGTGGCAAATCCCTCGCTGGCTGATGGCGTCTCTCTCGCCAAAGGCCAGGCCGCTTTCTCGTCGTGGGCTCGAGGGATGTCCCTGTGTCCTCCAGCCCACAGGCCAGCCTGGTCCTGCTCAGGAGGGCACACGCTGCCTGCCTGCTCCTTGAGGCTGGGGGGCACCTCCTGCATCTGGCGCTGTGGTTTCCTCCTGTGCTGTGGGGGAGACAACGCAGATGCGAGAGCAGGCTGGGGTGGGGGCCGCGTTACCGAAGCACCTCCAACAGGTGGGAGCCCTGGAGGCTTGGTCAGCTCTCTGCTGTTGCCTTGTGGAGCATCGTAGCAGCTGAAAGGCCTTTCTGAGTCCTTGCTTTACAGACCAGACACGGGCAGGGAGCACCACAGGTCCCTCTGCTGTGCAAGGACCGAATGGACTTGGGGGATCCGCCTCTCTAGGAAAAGCAGCTGCTCTCTGGTCTTCCCGGGGGAAAACCCATGTGACGAAGAGCAGGCCCCTCAGAGCAGGCCCCTCAGAGCAGGCAGCGTCTCTCTGCAGGGGTGGGGGAGGCAGCCAGTTCTCGGGCCACCTAGAAATGGAGGGGGCGGAGGTGAAAGTGCCCCACGCACCTCCCCAAGACCTCTGATGAGGCCTGCAGAACCCCTGCACCATTAGGAGGCACCCAGGGCTGCGTGAGCGCCTTCTCAGAGCTCTGCCCGTCCAGCAGGATGTTCCCGTCTAGGGTTCACCAGCCCCTCAGGTGCGGGAGCTGAGGCGAAGTCCGGGGCATCCTCAGCTTGGCCACAGTGGAGAGATGAAGGCAGCTGGGAAAGCAGAGGCGGTGGCGCCCTCCCCGACAGACTCAAAATCCCAACCTCCTTCTGCAGCTTCGCAGCAGACGCAGGAGGTGAGCGATGTGGCCCGCGCCGAAAACGGCAGACAACAAGGGGTTGCTACCTTTAGGGAGGGGCCACCTTTATCCCACGCGCGCCCACATCTGTGGGGTGTGGAGACCTTTTAGGAACACAGAAGGACCCATTTCCTTAACCATGATCTTGAGAAGTCACCTGCCATGGTCACCCACGGCATCGACTGTCCCCACGGAGGTCACCCTTCACTCCCACCCTACTGTCTGCCACGGATGTGGCCGTGGGACCAATGGCTCTAAGCATATCCCTTCCTGAGGCATGTGGGGTCCCGCAATCAGAGCGCTGGGGCGGCTTCTGTAGCAGGAGGGGGCGCCCGGCCCAGGCCCTCCTCGCACTGACCTGCAGCCCGCAGCCCGCAGCCCACCGCTCGGTGTGGCCCACCCTCCACTCCTCCGCCCCTTGCACCTCCACCCAACTGCTGCCGTCTCAGAGCCGGGGTCTCGGCCCCCACCCGGGGCAGGCTTGAGCAGCCTCTCCATGAGGACAGAGGGCGTGGGCTGCCTGACCGGCCCCCCGAATGTCTCCTCAAGGAGAAACCGGGCTTGTGTTGTAGACAGGAAGCCTCTGACACTGCGCCAGCAGACAACACTCAAGAAAACTGCCAAGGGATGACATGGAAAAGTTTAGTATTTTGTTCAACAATTTAAAAAATAGATATAATACCAGCATAAAATATTGCATAGCAAATAATAGATTGTTTGTACAAAATCCAGTAAGAAAAACATAATTTTATCATTTAGGATGATTCACAAAATACATTTTGAGCAACAGAGATAATGAGGATCCCACGTGTGCAGACGGCAGCACCAGAACCAGAGCCACGCCACAGAGTTCACACTCACAGAACCCAGGCCTGCTGGGTGTCAGCAGCAGCTAAGCCGGACGCAGGTACTACAAAATGACCAGCGCGCGCTCTCTGCTTCCTCAGCCAAGTGGTGGGCCCTGAGGTCAACGGCTGCGGAGAGGCGGGGAGGACAGCCTGTAGGGCAGGAGGGGCAGACAGGCCCCAGCCAGGCGCCCCAGGAAGGATGTCACCCTCAAGCCCTCACTGGTAGATGACCTTCACGCAGAATGCCTCTTCGTTCTTGTCCTCATGGTCATTGATGTAGATCAGGATCTCCTCCTCCCCCACTCTCTGACTGGGCGCAAACTGCAGGCCGATGGTGTGGGTCTCTCCACCTGCAACCTGGAAATAAGCATCCAAATCCCAGCGTCCACCCCCGGGCCGTCCCACAATCTCACCAGCAACCTCTCTGCACAGTCATGTGTATTTCCAAGGGGAGCTGACAAGGCGGGGGAGCCCCGCGGGGTGCATCCAAGGTCTGCCTTTGACTTCAGTGCCCGGGACGAGGACGGGAACCGGTGCTCGGCCAGGGTGACGTGTTACTCAGACTCGGAGCCACACTCATGTTCAAGACTGAGCTGTCTAACATTACCATGAAAAGCCCTGGGCACATCACCCTTTCCCACGCTCAGGAGAAATTTAGCTAAATCTCCAGCTACTAAAGAGACAACGGGCCCACCCAAGTATGGGATGGCACCTGTCACCGCCCTGGGGTTTTTGGAAGACTGCTGGTGATTCGAGGAACTCACTCCTAAATGCAGCCTAACTGCCCTCCATTCAGGTCCCCAGGGCTCCCCCCGGGAGTCGCACGCACAGCCCCACCACACCTGGAAGGAGTCCTCCCTGAACCGCAGCAGCTCCGGGTGGTCGCTGTGCAGGTGGAACGTCCTCCGGGAGGGGTAGGGGTTGGTGTAGGTGATCCTCTTGTTGACACCCTTCCCTTCGCCCACAGCCAACGTGATCTCAAAGGCCTGTGGAGGGAGGGGACAGGGAGACACTGTGGTCACTCGCGGGTACAGCCACTGGCCCTTCCTCCAAGTATTCCCTGAGTCTACTGTGCACCGTGCACGGCCCCAGACACTGGAGACCCCCACAGAGATAAGAGAGACGCTCTCTGGAGCTTCCATCCGGGAGACAGACAGCACAGGAGCAAACACTCGCACACCCAGCCCTGCTGGGTCAGAACCCTGTATCCAGGTGGCCCGAGTCGCAGGGCCAAGGTGGGGGTCCTGCAGTGCCCTGGTATTGAGCCCCCATCCCCTCAGCCTGTGCCTGCCACACATACAGACCTTGGAGATGAGCGGCTGGCGGCAGGATAGGCACACGAGCCAGGAGGCCACCAGCTGGTGGCAATCCACGTCCACTAGGTTGAGGTGGACGAAGCGGCTGCCAGCCCTGAGGGGCCTCACACCGACATGCAGGTCCTGCACCCCACAAGGCGGCAACACGAAGACACCTTTGGGGTCCGTCTTCAAGAGCAAGAGAGGCGGGTCAGGGCAGAACCTCTCATGGTGTGCAAGCAAGGGGTTCCCAGCCAATCAGCCAGGGGAGCCCAAGGTCATGGGTGGTTTAGGGGCAGTCAAATCTGAGGCCACAACCAACCCTGACATCACTGTGGCCGCGGCTCGGGTCTGCACCTGGCAAGTCCCTCCTCCCACAAGGTGACTATTCGCTAAGCGCTGCCTCCACAAAGAGAGAACTGAAGCCATCCTGGGGCTTAAAACCCTGGCCAGCTGGTGGCACCAGGGGCTGCCCTCCCACCCCATCTAACTGTGGCTTCACTAACGCCAGGGCTCCTGTCACCGTTTACCTAGCAGGAATTCTGAACACTGGCCTTTGGGGTTGGTGTGTACGTCACTCGCCCCACAATGGCACATCTAATGAAAGGCGACTGCCAGGAAGCCTCTGGTAACAGTCTGAGCGCTGGAGGTGCTGGAAAAGCTGCCGTCAGGGCCACCCACTGTGCTCCAGCTGAATCCCCACTGCCCGTCTCCAGGCTGGGGTTGGAGAGAGGCTCAGAACAGCCCCCAGAGAGGCCGTACCTTCAGCTCCTGGGGGTGCGAAGTGAAAGCTCTCACTTTCCTCACTGTCTGCGTCCCCCGAAGGACGAGGGACAGGCGGGTCAGCTGGCCTGCAACGCAGGAGACATCCACGCGCTGCAGGGAGTGGAGGTAGACCTGCCACGTCTGTGTGGGTGTCGCCAGCCAGCGATCCCTGCAGTGGGACAGGAGCCATCTGCACTTGTCCCGGAAGACTCAGCACCAGCCCGCAAGAGGCCAACAAGGGCTGCCAGGAGTGTGGGCAGACAGAAGGCCACGCAGGGAAAGCCCCAGAGGACCAGGCCCCAGGAGGCAGAGCTGGGGCCTGGTGGCTCCGCCCCTAGCTGCCCCCCTCCCACCCACAGCAGAGGCTCTCAGGGCACAGCAGGGCTGACCGATGGCCCCACTTGTCTGCACCCAGGATGCCACCTGGCACGAGGGTGCTTAGGAACCACATGTCAAACAAATGACAAGGCACGCTTTAGCCAAACACACATCCTGGACAAGTGTCCACCCCCAACAGGGTTCTGAGGCAAAGCCAAGGGCAGCGCCACTCAGGAGACAGGGTGGGGCTGGAGGTCATGCTGGCCTGAGCAAGGAAGCCCCTGTTAGCATTTCAGGGCCAAGAGCCTGCTGCTTCATAGTAAAATGGGGCTGGGTGAGGCATCTTCATGGGCTCACGAGGAAGCCACTCTGAGACGTGGTCACGTGGCCCCTCACCCTCTGGTGGGCACTCAGTGCACATAAGCCCCTGACCTGTCCTGAGAAGCACTGCGGGAAATCTCCCAGCTCACAGCAGTTTGAAAGGATTCTCACAGGACTTGGGGATCCGAATTAGGAGGGGAGGGGAAAGGGACTGGGTCATTTAGCCTGGAGGAGAGAGGGACGGGGAATTCCACCACAGTCCTCCCTCTCCGCAGGAGGGACCACAGCTTCATTCATGCTGTTCAGCCTAGCGACTCAGCAAGAAGAAGGTAACAGGGGCCTCTGGGTGGCCCTTGGCACTATCTGGAGACAGAGGCTGACTCATGTCCTTCCTTGGTGGGCACAGGCTGTGTCCCAAGTCACTCAGGCTGCACGTGCCCCTTCAGGATGCCTTCCCCAGGCCCCTGCTGGCCCTGGAACTCGCAGCAGAATCCCGCCTCACAAAGTGAAGGCCCAACAGCTCCCCCAAGTTTAGGAAGGGGCCAAGCCCACTTTTAATCCACCAGTAGCCCCAGGCCTGCCTCCTCCTCTCCTCTGCCACTGCCCCGGGTCCCCGAAGCCTGTGCACTTACGAATAAATGATGACAAAGAAGTCTTTGATCTCTGGGCTCGGACCACTGGCTACCTTCAGAAACACGTCCCGCGGCTCCCCCGGGCCCTGCCAACCAGATGTGCAGCAAATCAGGGCACACAGCCCACTGCCCAGCTCTGCCAACCCCAGCCTGCCCCTAAATCTGTGTGACTAGTGCACGCAGACAGTGAGGGCCAGCCCCTCCCAGAACGAATCTATTCATGTTCTATACCAGTCAGAATTCACCATTCTGTTCACTGTCAAAGACAAAATCATTAGCTTCCTGATTTTACAAGGATCTCAATAATTAGATTCTACAGGAGATTTTATCCAGTTTCCTAACTGGTCATAACACAATTATTGCCTTATCCTTTACACAATGGTAATTAATAAGTGCCTTAATTACCATTCACTTTATTCACTTTGCTTCATGCCTTTTTAAAATTTAAATTCGGATGATCAAGGAGCTGATCTGCTAGTAGAAAAAATAAAAACACTCTCATAAAGCTCTCATAAAGATGTCAAAATAGCCCTTTAGTACCTTGGAAAAGGTACTAAACCACTTAGCGGGAAACCTAAAACGAAGAGGCTCCCAGGAGACCCCACAGGGAAGAGGATGGGGGCGCAAACTTGCTGGGAAGGATCTGCCTGGGCCGGGGCCACAACACAACCTACCACATTCTGGGTCTCACAGATGACATTCGGGTCGCTGCAGCGAACGTGGACCGGGGGGTCCTCACCAAGCATTCCCACCGGAGCACCTGGAGCAGGGGAAATGTCACGAAGAGTCCTCTCCACATTTCCAGCCTGCGTGGAGATGGCCCCACGTGTTACATACTATAGGACAGGACAGGCTCATCACAGGTGCTCAGCAAGACACCTGCTGGGGAACCGGACGCCGCCACCTTTCCCAGGACAGCATCCGAGCACCGTGTTCCCTGCTCGGACACCACCCGTCCAGCCCACTGCTGCTTTGCTGCAGCCACCTCCGCAGGGAATAATCGAGGCGCCACAAAAAGGAAAGCACAGCTCCCTGGAGCAGGGAAGCCTGCACTCTGCTCTAAGGGGCGCCAACCAGAAACACGCGGGCCATCAGGTGAGGAGGCAGGTGTTCCTCCAGGCACACCTGGACCTGGGCCACGGAGCTGGGATTTTTTAGAAGGGCGGACTCACCCAGCAAATGCACACCTAGTCATCTCAGAGGTGGCAAGAGGGACACCGTCTCAAACCATAAAGGGAGAGAGAATTCCCCAGGCCCCATGTGGTGCTCTAACAGCACCAGGGCATGAAGCCATGAGGCCATCTGTCACCCTCAGGAGGTGCCTACTTCCAACAGGTGAGCCTGCAACATGTGGGCCGCAGGATCAGTGCAGGACCTGCCTGGAAGCGTGTGCCAGGGCGGCAGGCGGATGGCCTTCTTCAGAAAGGAGAGCTCCGGGTGATAGAAGCGGAAGACCTGGTCCACCACGTGGGGCTGCAGCTCCACGGTCAGGCAGAGCACGGCGATGGGCTTGCCACCACTCGCTCGGAACAAGACCTGTGAGGAGGCCATGCTGAGCGTTGGGATGGGCACGAGACTCGTGAGCAGCTTCTCGTCCCTCCTTAGACAGCACAGGTATCTCCACTGTCGCCACGACCCACTCACTCTCCACTGCCATGATGGGGGAAGGTCGGGCATCGTCAAAGGCAGGGACTGAGTCTGCAGCAGCAGGTCCCCACCCAGAGGGGACCGCTAAGCAAGGTCTGGGCCGGCACCCAGCACAGGGCACCCAAGCAGCCACATTGCCATTATTTCTCTCCAGTATGGCACACTTCTTAAATGCCAGTGGAGAAGGTCTACAGTTCTAAGTCAAAACTACTCCCGCCATGATTCCACCTCCCAACACCCTGCGTGCAGGTGAGCAAGTCAGGCCAGGAGGTCCTGGGGTGGGTGGTGGTGGGGCCAAGTTGGTGGCCAAACATGTCAGCACAAGCTCTTTTGATTTCAGATGTCAAAAAGAGGCTGTGCCTAAACCAAAGCGGTTAGAAATAGAAACTTCTCTGGTTTCAAAAGAGCTACTCATTAAAAACCATATTGTCTAAAGAAGTATTAATTTGGACAACTGATAAAAAGGCTGTATTTGTTTCAAGATACACACACACACAGAGACATGCACTCACACACATGCACACACACATGCATGCACCCACACATGCACACATGCACCCACATATGCACACATGCACCCACACATGCACATATATGCACGCACATATGCACACACACATGTGCCCACACACATCCAACCACATATGCACCCACATGCACCCACATGTACGCACCCACACGCACACACGCATGCTTGCACCCACACATGCACATACATGCATGCACCCACACACATGCACACATGCACACACATATAAGTACACACACATCCACCCACACATGCATGCACCCACACATGTAGACACACATGCACACACATGGATGTATCCACACACACGCACGCATACACCACCCACACATGCACACACTTCACACTTGCACACATCAAGAAGGAGACAGTGGGGCAGGTCAGGAATGAAAAGATCCTTCCAAATACATCTTGCTTTATAGTTTGATTTTTGACTTAAATGTTTTTAATTTTGAAAACTAAAATAAATAGAAGTGTCAATGTATTACAAATAAACAAATCCAACCTTCTATAAAGTTGGTGCTGTAACTACCCAGAGAAGAATTCTTTAAGTAAATTTAAATCACAGGATACAAAGGACCTAAGGACAAATGCACCTTCAGACATCTTGCACTGACAGATAGTGTCTATCCCCGGTTGGTACTGATGTTTTGAAATATACACATACACAAAGATGGCCAGTGTGGCCAGTGGTATTGTAGCCAAAGGGATTTGGCCAGTGTGGTCAGCAGACTGGTTACATACAGAGGAAATTAGGCAAATAACTAAATATAGTGAACCAAATGGGAGCCAGGTTTCTCACGAGCAAAAATGGGAATTACAAACATGGAAAAAAGACAGCAGGAAGAAACCTGTGATGTTGAACTGGTGTTGGAAGAACTGCTGCAAATTCATGGTCTTCAGCACACTAGAAATAGTAGTCCATGCACATACACACACATACATATGCACACACACATAGCTATACATCGTATATGCATGATATGCACATATGTATCTGTATATACAGGCATACACCTCTTAGGTCTCTCTGCTGACAGGGACTAGCAGCAGTGACATCCCAGTAGCACTGAGTACATCTAGCACTCAAATCTTGGTTTCTAAATGTCATTCTCCAACCAAAAGAACCTTAGTTAAATGGCTAACATTCCTGAAATGCAAGCTGAGCCTGGGGCATCTTGCTGTGCTGGGCAGTAAGGAAAGACTCAAAGGAGGACAGGGGTGAATCAACAGGACACAGGAGCTGGCCTGAAGGGGCTGCCCTCCTTAGTCAGGGACAACATGGATATGAGCAACAAAATAAATAGTAACAAAATGAATAAAATAGAAATTCATTGTTCATAAGGCTATAAGAAGTAAATACGTGAATGGGGTGAAGGCACAGCTCTACCTTACTTAAAATACCAGTAATCGACAGAGAAGGAATGATGGAATTGGAAAATCCATGGCAGGCAAGCATCCCATTAACTACCAACTCGGGGCGGTCATCAGTGTACACTGAGACCTAGTGCGTAAAAGTCTGATGAAGAAGAGGGTATTTGAACGGCCTCAGTATTTCCCAACAAGATACTTACTCATGACTTTCTGATTACTAGACACAAATATTTCTTCTTTTTTTTTTTTTTTTTTGAGACGGAGTCTCGCTCTGTCGCCCGGGCTGGAGCGCAGTGGCCAGATCTCAGCTCACTGCAAGCTCCGCCTCCCAGGTTTATGCCATTCTCCTGCCTCAGCCTCCCAAGTAGCTGGGACTACAGGCACCCGCCACCTCACCCGGCTAGTTGTTTTTGTATTTTTTAGTAGAGACGGGTTTCACCTTGTTAGCCAGGATGGTCTCGATCTCTTGACCTCGTGATCCACCCGTCTCGGCCTCCCAAAGTGCTAGGATTACAGGCTTGAGCCACCACGCCCGGCCACAAATATTTCTTAGTTGATATTACAGGAAAAAAGCATGGCAGATGCCATCTTAACTGAATGGAAACAGTAACATCGCCAGTAACAGGACAAAGCAACATGGTGTCCCTCACAGTATGATGTTCGGAGAGGACACAGCAAATGTCTGTGGAGTCCCCGTCCCAAGTGCATCACCCGGGTCTAACCGAACCGAACCCGGGTCTAACCGAATCTGGGTCTAACCGAAACCAACACCAGACCAGCCCCACTGGGCATACCCTGCAGGATAACAGCCTATGCCCTTCAGAACAGCCACAGTCACAGCCACGCCAGAGAGACTCCATGGGCAGCAGGCTGCTGGGGGCCACTGGGTGGGCCGTCTATCAAGTACTGGGACATTTGCGAATGTGAACGGGGCCTGTGATGACAGAAGAGGAGTGTCTAATTTTCATGGCTCTGCCTTGCCTGTAGAGGACAGTGGCCTTATTTTCAAGACAACCCAGCTCAAAGTGTCATGGAGTAAAGGGCATTACCTGATAATTTATTCTCAAATTGTTCAAGAAAAATGCATAAACAGAGAACAGTGAGGCAACCATGGCAAAGGTTGGTGATTGGGAAGGCTGGGAAAACCCCATGTGGGGACTCCGCACTCTTCCTGTAACTTTTCCCTAAGTTCTACATTATTTCAAAATAACTACTTTTTATAACAACGAAAAAAAAGGCACAGGAGTTAACCTGAAAAGGATGGCAGTGGCCAGAGAGAGGGCAGTTCCAGCGTCTAAGAGTGAAGCCTCCATGGGATGAGAAATACAAATATAAAGCCCAGGTGTCCATCACAAGACGCCACAAACACGGACTGTCTCTGGAGGGTGCTAGGACACAGTTCACTTATTCGAAAAATGATAAATAAAGGGAATGATTCTAACATTCACCCTCACTTTCAAGTACAAAGCATATTTTAGGGTAACCAAACCACTGGTGGGGAAAGTCCTTGTTTGTAGGAAAATCACAGGAAGAATGACAAGACTGCAATTTCACCTTGGATGGAACACGTGTCGGCCAGGAGCCTCAGCTGGATGCGAATGAGGGAGAAGCGGGTGACAGCAACAGGCCGTCAGCACCTGAGCAACAGCCAGCGTGGCCTCTGTGGGTGGCCTTTGTGGACGACGTGGCCTGCCCACTGAGCAACTCCAGAGGCGGCACACTCCAGGCCAGCGGGTCCCAACCCAAACACACCAGCTGTAGAAAGGCCCGTGCTTAGAGCCCCAGCAGACGATGCCGAGATCCACCTTGACAGGGGCAGTGATGACAGCACGCAGTCACGATAAAAAGAAAAGTCCTCATTGGTCCAAGATGCACACTGCAGTAATTATGGGTAAACTAACACAATGCCTAGGATTTCCCTTCAAACTCCAAACTCATGTGAAGAGACCATATTTTTGACATAAAAATTAAGGTGAAAACACCTGAAATCTTTATCTGAACTTCCCTTATCTGACTAGTGCACAGCCTCCTGAAAATGCAGCTGCCATTAACCCACTATGTGAAAGTGAAAGCATCCTGCAAATTCCAGGAAGGTCACAGACTGCCCATGCCTACAGCACAAAGAGACAACAGAACATCCCTGCCTTCCCATGGAGGCCCTGGCCCTCGCCCCTTCATGCTACATTGGCACACAAACCTCGACCTCTGGGCATTCGGCAAGCTACTCACTTCCCAATGCTGTCACGAGCTTGCGACGGTAAGGCCCATCTTTCCTCCCATCCCTCTGTCTACCGTCATCCACCTGCAGGCCTTGCCATTCAGACCTAAGCTAGCAGAGGAAAACCTTCCTCCCAACAGTTCTGGCAACAGGATGTGATGGCTGGGACTTCCCACACATGTAAGGAAAAGGTATTAACCTAGAGCACTCAATAAAGAACAGAAGTATTCCTTAGATCAAGGCAAAGCTGTGGCTGCATTTAAATAAAATAAAGCAAGTTTTCACTGGTGATGGGGCCTGGTGGACACACAGGGCCAGGCTGCAACCACAGAGAGACCCGGGCCACGGGGACCCCACAGCCTCAGGCCGGGACTGTGCTGAACTCTGAATTCTGTCCTCCAGGCAAGGTGTAGGAAAGACCAAAGCTTTTTCATTTTGTTTTTCGCTTCCCAACTACTACAAAAGGCATGTTTCTACCGAATAAAGAAAAACCTTCAGAAACTGCCATAAAGCAGCAACGTCTCAAGCTCCTCCTGCGAATGTCTCAGCCAGCTGCTGAGAAGCAGGTGCCTTACCACACGGCCTTCGCTTAGCAAGGGATGTAACCAAGGTCTAAGTCTTATTTCCAGGAAGAACCACACCACACACTCACACGCCAGGGAATGCTGTGTGTGAGGCTCACAAAGTGGCCACGGGCTGTGGCAGCCACCATAGGAACTGCGGCTTCACACCCGGAGAGCCCTGGCTGTGAGAAGGCGGCCACCGAGGAGGCATTTCCCACCAGACACAAAGCAGACTGTGCCGGCGCCCAGACGGAGCTGCCCTGCCCAGCGAAGACATGGAGAAGGCCATTCCCAGGCCCACACCACCCCTGCCCTGACCTGGCACCAGCCCTCCCCTCCAGGAGGGGAGAGGAGGACATAAGGGTTAGGCCCTGGGAATACCTGGGAAGCCCCGAGATCAGTCTGTCCTCTGTTGCCCCTTTACCTTGGCGTGTTTAGCGGGCACTGTGCTGGACTTCCAAGGTGACACGGTGTCTGTGCCCTTCTCGTTGCTCAACCCAGAAGAGGCCTGCAGGAACCAATCAGCACAAGCAGGTCAGGGAGCGACACCACTAGGTGACCAGCACCTGTGCTTAGAGACACCACTGCCACCCAGCTGGGAGCCACCAGCCTCCTTTCACACTGACTCTCCGGGCAGCAACCATCACCAACCGGCCTCACTGTGCCAGAGAAGGCTGAGGCTGCCAGGAGCAAAGGAACAGCAGATCCCAGGTGGAAACCCAGCTTTGCCTGAAGCCAAAGGCCTGAGGTCCCACCTGCTGTCCTCACAGCCCGTCCCAAGAGCCAGCATGGAACCCTGTGAGTGAGCCTCTAGGGACATCTCAAGTCCACCTTAAGCAATGACCATCACCCTAGAGAGCTGACCCCAAAAGGTCAAAAGCTGAAACACACACTCCATGCCCCTATGCCTGCCTCACACACCCAGGCATGACACACCCCCTGCAGGCACGCCTCACACACCACCCCCTGCACACACACCTCACACAGACCTCCACACGCACCACTCCTACACGCGTGCCTCACATACACCCCGCATACATGCCTCCTGTACACACGCCTCACATATCCCCCCCTGCACACATACCTCTTGCAAATACACCTGCTGCACGCATGCTCCACGCACACATGCCAGCAAAGCTGCATCTTGCATAGAGCAGCCAGTGCTGCAGTCGGAAGCGACCAACCAACATTAACTGGAAAGAAGATGCTAGAAAATGTCAATCCATTAGATTCACTGGGCTTTAAGAAGCCCTAACAACCAACCCAGTAAAGAAAATTAGGAGGAGATGGTCCAGCCCGACACCCATCAGGCTGGAAAAGAGAAGGGGCAGGTTGCCACTCGCAGTGCACATGCCAGGGCTCTTGTTGAGCACAAAGGGGAGTGGATGGCAGCCCGAAGGCTAGTCCGTCTGCCACAGGCACGGGAGGGACACTGGTGGAGACTGGAAGCATTCTCAGTTTCCCACTGTCGTCAGCCAAATGCAACTTCCTTGTGTGCCTGACACCCGCACCTGCACCATGGCCAGCTGCCCAGCAGAGAAGCTCTGGAACTTGAACGGGATGTGGGCGGTCTCGTGGGGGCGCAGGTAGAGCTGGGGGGCCAGGCTGCCGCGCAGGTGGAACATGTCCTCCTCCACCGGCGTGTGCAGGCCAGCAGCACCCTTGAAGTCCCTCCACTCCTGACTGTCCACGATGACGCTGGGGAAGGCAGTGTGGAGGCATCAGGGCAGTTCTTCCCAGGAAGGCCCACAGGAGGCTGTGTCCCACCCACTGAGAGCAGTGCTCAGAGGAGTGGGAGAGAGGAGCCGAATCGCCTCGGCTCTCGGGCAGAATTCAAGCCAGCTCAGCAGGGGAGCCGGCTGCACCCGACACAGATCTGGGCTGGGGCAGGATGGGCGTTGCTGAGACCTCACCTGAGCTCAGGGTTGTCGATCTCCACGGTCACCGTGTGCTGTGTGTTGTGGGGGTTCTTAAGCACAAACTCAAAGAACTCGGCGACCCCCAGTGTGGCGTGGAGCGTGTGCTCCGTGGTGATGGCCAGGCTCAGCAGGCTGGCGATGCTCTCGGCCTTCGTGCGCTCCCGGTAGGCGGCGATGACCTGTAGGTCCCGCAAGTGCTGTGTGCGGACGCACTGCTGGGCCTGCAGACAAGACGATATGGGCGGACAGGGTCCCAGGCACACTCTCCTCCACGAGGGGCTATTGCTGGCCGCCCACCACTCGCGATCTCAGAACAGGACATTTCTCCACCAGCATCGCCACCGCCACCCCCTTCCTTGACCATGTGGTCTGGGTGGAACTGGCCGGCCCAGCCCAGGCGTGGCTCTCAGGCAATGCTGGACAGAGATCTGCTGGCTGTGTCCCCGACACGGAGGTCCACACAGCACCCTTGCCTGCTCCTGAGAGACTCTTCACAGCCGCAAGCCTGGCCCCCCGCCCAGTGGAGAATTAGAAACTGGTTTCAAACAAGAGAAAAGAATGGCCTCAAAACTATGGTGACAGGCCTCACCAGCCAGGTCCCCAACACAATGTCAGGAGCCCTGTCTGGGCCTAGAGTCCACAGGAGAGGACATGCCCTCGGCCTGCAGTCTCGGTCACACCGGGTCAGAAGCCGGGCAAGCAGCATGCTGCTTCAGCAAGGCTCAGCCACCCCCTTGCTCTGAAGCCCCAGGGACTCGAGGGGCTTGACCAGCGCACATGGGTTCTACAGGTTGGAGACTGGCTTGTTTTTCTTGTGGGCCTTACAAGAAAAAGTGAGGCCATCTAGAGGCTGCTTTGCAAGATCTCAGGCCTGGAAGGCCCATGCCAGGGAGTCGGCCAGCCTAAGTTACTCCAAGAAGCCGCTGCGGCCGGGCGCTGGGAACCTTCTGTCTAACCGAGGAGGCTGAGGCGTCAGAGAGATGGACTGACTTGAATGCTTTCAGGACTTAACTCTAAAGGTGAGGACAAAATTTGATTTCTGACTCAAATGACTTTGGACATTCACTTTCCAACATCCAAAGCTTTGGCTTTTCCTTTGCCAGGGGGATTGGAGCTGAGCCTTTCACACTTGGGGCTTCCATCAGAATTTATCATCAGAGCTTTTCAGGAGTTGAACCTCTGACAGGCTGTGCTGGACAATGGGGCCAGACATGAGTAAGGATGAGAAACAGGGCTAGGGCTGAGAGTGGCTCCTCACTTCCAAGCTCATGCTGACAGAGCTAAGGTTATCCAGGCTGGGGGCCTCCAGAGGCCACAGCTTCAAGCCCTGCCAGCTGGGAAGGAGGGAGGAAGGGAGAGAGGGAGGCGGGGTGGGTGTTCTGAGGCCTGGGAGGAGGCTCCAGCCATGCCCTGGCCCTACCCCTGGCCTCCCTCTAGTCCCTCCCTCCTCCCTGACCACTGAGTCCACCAGTCCTGCAGGCTCAGGCCAGGCCTCCCCACCCCGTGTCCTCTCACCATGCCTGTTCCTCACCCCATCAGACTGAACTGAGCCTAGGTAGGGACCGAGGCATCTGCATCCACCTTTGAGCACCAAGGCCTCACTGGCGGGGAGGCTGAGTGATGGCCCTGCTGAGTTTACTGTCAGGAGAAGGGACACCTCTGTTCAGACCCCGGCCTGCCTGCATGCAAAGGGGAATCTCAGGAGACCTTTCTCGAGGCCCCTGTGGTTCCCGACTTCTATGCACCCAGGAGGTACAACCATTCTCACCTCCCATTTCTTAGTTGCAAAATATTAACAGTTCTATTTAGATTTTCAGCCAAAAAGGGGAATTTTTCTAGCCAGAATGATTACACTAACAACACTGATATGTCAGCTGTTCACAGCTCTGCTCCCCAGACCTGGGAGAGCCTCAGACTCACAGGCAGAGCTTTCTTCAAACCCAGGCTCCGGCGGTCCTGCCCAAACCAATCAGTGTCAGAATCTCCAGGGCTGACGCCCAAGAAATGGCTTTTAGTAAAAGCTCTCCAGATAATTCTCACTTAAAGATTCCCCCCGCTGGCTGAAAAAGTCCGATTTCTTATATTCTGTCCCTAGGACTTGGGAGGAAGGTAAGAGAGAATCACGTGGGAGGCAGGGAGAGATGTGTACAGTGACTCAGTCTGCGTGGAGACCCCGGGACAGTGACAGCTGAACAAACCCTCACCAACACGCTCGTCCCGCGCCGGCCCAACTCTCCCCCGGCCTCCTGCAGGCGCACAGACTTCATCCGCTCCAGTTTACGCCTGCGGGTGGCATCCGACTCACGGCCGACGTCCCGGGGCCCCGTGCCCTGCCGGGCATGGGTCAGCAGCATGGCGGCCAGCTCACTGTCCACGTCCGCCAGCTTCTGCGCTTGCACCACATGTTTTCCTGAGAAAGGGTCAGAGGGGGAGTCGGGTGGACGTGCAGTGTCTGCCTTCCAGGAGCAGACGTGGGGGCAGGCCTCCCAGGACCACCTGTGCAGGGAGGGAGCTCAAGAGCGTGGCTCATGCTTTCTGCAGCTCCAATCTGCAGAGTTCTGAGATCCAGATAAAGATAACTTTATACCCTGGTTTCCACAGCATTCCCTCCTTTCCTCAGCCTCCAAATTAAAAGCAATTCTGACTCTGGTCCTTAGATCCAACACTATCAACATACCACCAGGGAGTTTTCTAGGGGAAGGAAGCCATGTTCTAGAAGCCCACGCTCTCGGGATCTTAAAGGGCCCACTAATGCTTTCACCCAGGGCTGCCAGCCTCAGTCCCTCGGATCAGGAATGGGGGTGAGGGGTTGTCCCCTTGGCAGGAGGCCTTCAGCTAGTAGGTGGTGAGGGATGAAGCTCAGAGCAGGCCTGGCCCCCAAGTTCCTGCTCTCAACTCTGCCCCGGCTGCCCCTGGACTGCCTGGCCCCCAGGACAGCCCGTCTCCTTTGGGGTAGCCCTACTCAAACCAGGGATATACAATGACTCATTTAGCAAACCAACAGAAGCTGAACAGGGTCAAGCACTGGCAGGCAAAGGCTCAGCCACTACTGGATGGGCCAGGCCCTTCCTTCTGACACAGAGCAGGAGCTCAGGGTGTCGGGTGGGACTGTGCTAGGTGACCATGTGGCCATGCCACAGGCTGACACATGAGACTCCCAGACAATCGCTCAGTCTGGCACAGGCAGGGCAGTTGAGGGGTGCCCCAGCTTAGGGCCTGGGTCCTTCCTCACTCTCTGGCACCAGTAGAAACTTCCCACAGGAAACCAACGCCAGCCTGAGCTCTCCCCGCCTGGTTCCACTTGTATGGGGCATTGGCACCCCCTGCAGAAGCCTCCACACGGTGGGCAGCAATGTGACCCCCGACTCCTCACAAGGAAACAGGTGCCACTGTCAGGTCCCTCACCACCATCCAATTTTAAAGGCGGTGAACTGATTTGCAGATGCCCCGAGTGGCTCTCGGGCACAGGCTCAGTCTGAGCTACCTGCAGCCACAGCCGTGAGTGAGGGACCTGGGGCCTGGTCAGGTGGGGCTCAAGTCTTCACATTGCATCACCCCAACAAATACCTCTCATGGTCCCAGTGAAACAAGAAATGAAGTTTCAGAGTGACCATGAGACTGCACTTGGGGTGAGGCATGAAGCACTGAGAACCTTCTTAAAACTTCGTGCAACTTGCTAATTGCAGAACCTTGCTCCATGGGTGAGACATGTGCTTTTAAGGGACACCTCCTATGCCAGTTCTGAGCAAAACAGGGTCTGGAGGATCACTGACCTCAGGGCCTCTAATTGTCTCAGCAAGTCCTGGGTTCCTGCTCCCTGACAGCTGAGCCCTTGACCTGCTGCACCTAGAAGCAGGGTTTATCAATAACCTCAGCCTGGCTTCTAGAGCTCAGGGACTTCTCTCTATGGAGCTGCTTCTCCATCATACTCTAGGTGGTCTGCAGGACCAGCTGAGGATGAAGGGCACTGACCCCAGGGCAGGGAATCCAGATTCTAAGCCAAGTTCACCCCTTAGCCACAGCACTGGCCAAGTCACCTGACCTCTCTTCATCTCAGTTTCTTCAAAATTACAATGAGGAAGCTGGCCCAGAACACTCTACCCTGCCTGGACCACGAATCCCTCTGAGCCCCTCGTGTCTGCTCCCAGGAAGAACGTACAAGTTTACCCAGAGTTCCTGGGAACATTGCAGGATGGAACCCAAGGGCCCCTCCCACCTCTAACAAGCCACAGTTCCAAGGCCCAGCAACACACAAAAGCACACGGCAGCTTTGAATTCACACAAAATGATCTGCAACCTCTGGAAAAAATGCTCCTTAAAGAGCACTTCCCACTTGTAATTCAAATGATAAGTACTTTATATTCAGGTCTGTGAGGCCTTAAATTTTAAGGGGACAGAAAAACTTCAGAGCCTCCCTGCTGTGAAACACATTTTCACCTAACCCAGGTCTTTCTCTCAAAACGAGGTCTGTCTTTCCCAAGCTCCATAATTGGCTTCTCTCTTCTGTTCACAACATGGGGGGCCTCAGCTTGTTTTGAAAATCAGTCTATGTTCATCCTGACCTTCTCTCCATTTCTTCTTCCCTTGCAGATGAGCAGCCAACCAGACACAAATGCCCCTGGCAGGGTTCCCACTTCAAACAGCACAGTCGCCTGCAGAGCCCAGCCTAGAGCACCAGGGTGTGATCAATGTGGTGGCTCAGTGGGGCCTGCAGGTCCACAGGGGCATCCAGCCAGGGCACCAAGCTGCACATGGACAGCACAGTCCTGCCCTAGACGCAGAGGGGCGTTAAGAGCATCATGAATGGTGCACATGCACAGGCGCGCACGCGCGCGCGTACACCCACACACACAGATGCAGCCTTCCACCTCTCACGTGCCACTCACGACCCACCTGCACACGGACAGCAAAATGCCATCCTAGATGCAGAGGGGCATTGTCAGCACCACGAATGGTGCGCATGCACACACACACACAAACACACGTACACACAGTCTTCCACCTCTCAGCCACCACTCATGACCCACCCGCACATGGGCCCAACAGTGTCAACTCACGCCTTGAGCTTCCACTTGTGAGGAGGCTGCCTCCAGAGAAGCGGCTGGCTCCATCATTTGAGATGACCCGAGATCTAGATGGTGGCAATATGCTACAACCTCTCACTTTCTGTTCACACAGGTGACCTAAATGAAAAACATCCCAACATAAGCCACTAACCCCAAATGAGAATCTGATGAAACAGATCAACCCACCACATAAGCAGTTCTGGCTTTCAAATGGCCCATCTACACCCTGGCATGCTAAGGTCTCTGTTTTCAATGTTTTGCAATTGAGAGACAGGTGGGAGCTCGTTCTGCTGTGAACTTTCTGCTGGGTCTTCATTCTTCTGCCGTGCCAGCAACAGCCTCCGTTTCCTGGTGATGAATGAAAGCGTGTGGCACTCACAGTTCACTGCACACGGAGTCTTACTTCTGGATCTCTGGGTCGCAAGGTGGGCTGCCTCACAAACTGTAACCTTGGCCTCTTGATGGCCACATTGTTCAAGGAGAGTCCTGTGTACATTTACACGTGCAAATGTCTGACTCCACACACACCCAGGGTGAAAGAATCCCCACAAACTGGAGCCTTCACCGGAGCTGTGTTTGTAACAGAAGCCTTTGGCGAGCAAGCAGTGTGGCCTCGGGACAAGTGTGTCTTGGGGCTGGTGGGTGTGGCGCCCTGCGAACTTGCAAACCTGAGTATCCTAGGGAAAGCCGTGCTTGCCCACGGCACACTCTCCTGCGAGGATGGGACCCACAACCTCAGTGGGTGAGGCAGAGCACCGCCAACGAAGCTGTGTCCCAAAATGAAGCACCCAGGGTGCGCGCAAAATGCTTGTGTCATCAATCTCCTTAATTCCGACGAGGCAGTGTTGAGTGTCCTCGGGCCTGGGATGTCCTCACCATTTTCCTGGGAGATGTTAAAAGCGGGAACCCCTTCTCCGTTCTGCCTGCCTCTCTGCATCCCTTCGCTTCTGCCCACCCTCAGCCCCAGGGGAGGGAGGGGCTTCCACACTGGCCAGGTCCCTCCTCAGCCTTGGCAGATCCACCTGCTGCGTCAGGTTCCCTCCCCTCTTGCCCGTCAGGAGCTGCTGTTTCCAAGGACAAGCCCAGTGCTGGGAGCATGCCCATGCGCAGGCGCCTGCAGAGGTGCCACATCCTCCGTCCAACCCAGGTTCTCCCGGTGACAAAACCGGAGCTGACGGAGGTGTCTCTCTAGAATGGTTCTGAGCTGAGGCTGGAAAGCAAGCGCCCGTCCTCCCAAGGGAGCCAGGCAGATCTCCGAGCTGCTCTACCCGAGTCCAGCCCCTCCACACCCCAGCGAACAGCACCTGGATTCAAAAGCCAGATACTGAATCGCAGATGGTGACACCAAACACATTGGTGGGACAGCAGACCGGCCCCCAAATAGGGCTGTTGAGGGCAAAGGCCCCGATGTGGTGGTGGAAAGAGGTTAGATTTAGCAATCACAGACAGCCTGGAGTCAACCTCTAGAAAACTTCTAGAAGAGCTTCACTTCACAGATGGATGGAAAGCTGGCGACACAGCAGCAAACAGTCCCTGCGGCCCTCAAAGAACTCACATTTTCCCAATTCTTAAGTTCCTTTGGTCATCTTGAGTTCTCTCTCTGGATCTCAGTCCAAGCCAGACTGGCCTTTCTGCCACCTCCTGCAGGCTGGAGCTGTTCTTGGTCATCTGTCCCTGCTTCAGTCTTCGTAAGTTCTTTCAAAACTGAAGCTCCGAAAGCAACTGTGGCAAAGGCACTGGCGCATTGGCTGCCTCCTCCCATCTGTGCACGAGCACAAATGCAGAATTTCCTGGCTCAGCGCCGTCCCTGGAGGCAGCTTGAAAGCTCACTGGGCAGCAAACGTGGGGTCAAGCTGCCTGCTCACCTGTGCTGAGAATTCGGCTCTCAAGGCCAGGTTCTGATGGCCACGCTCACAGCCGTCACCAGAAGGATGGGAAGGCTGACTGCCTCCTCCCACACCACAGCTGGCAACCAGAAAGGCCCGTGGCGCACTTACCGAGCCATCTCTTTCCAGGAGAATTTCATTCCTTCCGATGTCCCAGTAGCTGACATCCCCTGCCTCCTGTTCTTTCTCCTTGACCCCAACGTCAGCACCGTGCTGTGCAGCAGGACAGCCGTGCTGACCTCCCCCTTGGCCCAGGTCCCTGCTACATCCCCACAAAGATGCAGCCTCCACTTCCCCCGTAGGCCCTGCACTGTGCTTCCACCTTTGGGCTACCAACTGACTCCCGGCACCTACAGCGTCCACTCAGTCCTCACTCCAAGCCGGCTTCCTGAGAACAAGCACCTAGAACAAGGGCTATTTCGGTCTTCTCCCTGTTGCTCTTAGACCCTCCCTCCTGTACCAGCCTGCCATGGCCACCTCTGCTCCCACAAGCTTTGCAGGGGTCTCCAGCTTCCCCTCAAGTTAAAGCCCGTCCCCTCCCGGTGGAGGCTGCAGAGCCTCTGCCCAAACACCCTCCTCTCGCCTGCCAGGAATCCGTTTTTGGCCCTAAAACTCGTGGTCACAGGATCAAGATCCCCGTCGCCAAGAAAGAAACCCAGATCAGCACTCCTTCACACGAATAGATGTTCATGCCCCATAGGCTGTATCTCCTGAAGCCCAAGGAGAACAGGGCTCCAGACCAGAAGGGCGCTCAGGCTTCTTATCAACGCTTTCATCAATCTCTGCACCACAGCACCAGGTTCAAGGGCAAACACCACCACAAAGAAGCCACGATCAGGGTCCTCAAAGACCTCCCAGATTCATGTGGGAAAACGGCAGACAAGCAGGCTGGGGTGGGGAAAGGACAGCAGCCTGAACCAGCGCAGCCTGCCTGTGCCAGGGCCAGAGCTGGGGGCACCGGCACTGATGTTCACGCTCCAGGCCACGCTGCCCTCCACATGACAGGGAGAAAGTGCCACTGATGTCCACGCTCCAGGCCACGCTGCCCTCCACATGACGGGGAGAAAGTGCCACTGATGCCCTGCCGCTCGGGCCGCATGCCCTCACATGACGGGGAGAAAGTGCCACTGATGCCCATGCTCGGGCCCACGCTGCCCTCCACGCCTTGAGGGAGAATGCTCCGGGCCACGCTGCCCTCCACATGACGGGGAGAAAGTGCCACCGGCCCCAAAGCCTCATTTTCCCACTCACAAGCTCAGCGCTGTCCCAGCTTCTTGCTGCGTGTGTGTGTCTTCCCACAAGAATTCATGGCAGGGGCAGCAGCTCATGGGCTGGCAGTCCTGGCAAGCTCTCTGTCACATCCTGAGGACCTGCTCCAAGAAGGAGGGGCCTCCTAGCACCTCTGTTCACTGTGGGCTGCAGTGGGTTCACCCCACACCAGGGGCAGCCCAGAAGGCTCCACAGCTTTCTCGACCACCTTCATCTGCTAGCGAGTGGTTCCCTGAATGGCAGACGAGAAGGCCTCTGGTCCACCCACATCTGACTGGAGAGGGCACTGGGCTATTTTAAGCCTGAACTATGCACCACCCTGAGAAGTACTAAGAGATCAAGGAAAGTGTTACAAGGCCGAGCTGGGTCCAGACAGCTCCCGGGGCAGGCGATCAGCATTCTTGGAGCTCAGGCTCGCAGGACACCTAATGATGACAATGGCTGCAGCGGGTGGGACCAGCAGGACACGGAACCCTGCTGGGCTTCATGAGCATTTCCTCTTACTATATTTATACTTAGAGCACATGGGAAAATAAAGCAGGTAAGCTGAATTTACACTTGCACGCTCACTCAAGAAGGGTACAAGCGGCAAAGGCACTGCATTTCATCAGGGCACAACTTGGGTGTTAGATTAGTGCAGGCTTTCTTTCCTTTCCATGAGACAGGTTACGCCTGCACCAACACATCTGCTACAGGGGCAGGAATTCCCTGCAAACATACAGGGCTCCTGATGCAGCCCTGCAGCTGGAGCAAAGCCCACCACTGCCAACCGTGTGACCCCACAGCCTGGCCGTCTGTCAGAGTCCATCACCACCCAGTTCTCCTAGGATATCCCATGAGAACACAGATGCTTGGCCTGTGAGGCCATCTCTCCAGACGCCGGCCTCCCCCAAGAAGGGCCACAGAACACAAGTAACACCCAAGCTCCCAGCCGAACCCCTGTCCTACTCCACAAACAAGATCACTGGGATCAAAGAAAGCAATCTGGTGCTTGCAGTTCCTGGATGACAAAAGCTGACCGAAAGACAGTGTGAAAGAGGCTGCCAAGGAAGTCAGCAGGCCTGCGTGGAGCAGCCACCAAGCACGAGGGCAGTCCTCTCCCCGTCATCAGAGTCCCATGGCCCTGGGTCCAGCTGGCAGACGCCCGTGTCCCCAGCCATGGCACAGGCTTCCTTGCACGGCCTCAGACAGGAGCACGCACTGTGAATGCAGCCGGCCCAGAGCAGAACCCAGGCTGAGGCCGAGGCTCAGGCTCCATCCCGCTCAGTCACCCTGCAGGCTTCCACGGCCGGCACCCACGCTGCTGGCAGAGAGAAGCCTACTGTACCACAGAATGGCCAGTTTTATGAAGAAAGAAAAGCCATAACACTTTTTTCCCCAAAAAAATGCGGAATTGACGGAGGAGAGCCAGGCTCGCTGCACTGATGTGCAGAGTGCTGCGGGTGGCACGTGTCCTCTGTTGAGACCTCTCCCTCTCCCGTGGGCGCTGGAGTCTCCCAGGCTGGCTATCTCAGCCTTCCCTTCCCATGAGCTTATCTCTCTCTTGCAGGCAAAGTATGAAAATGACAATTGGAGATAACATATAATGGAGGCAATCTTTCTTCTGAAGATAAGATTTTAAAACCTGGAGTCCCTGCACATTCGTGAGCTGGAGAATTAAATGTAAAAACAACCAGCGCGGTCTCAGAGCAGAACACTCCTTGCAACTCCCTTAGTTGCATGGGCCTTTGAATAATGCCTGCTCCTCGCATGTGGCTCATTTATTTCTCCAGAACCTAATTGAGTTTTGCTGGGTCCATATTGTCTATTTTCCAGGCCACCTCGGATCTACATTCATAAACAGGCAGGCAGAGCCTCCGAGCCAACTCAACGGCTGTGCACTCGAGCCCTCCGCCGGGCCCCCAGCCTGTGTGCTGCCAGTGCCGGGTGGATGTGGCCCATGGGGCTCTGGGGTTTACAATCAGGCTGGGTTCTGAGGAGTGGAAAATTCCCTAATAAAATAGCAGAGAAGTCTGAATCTCATGCAGACAGACACAGCTTCGGAAACACCACACAGCTTAGTTTTGTTGTGCTTTCAATTCTGCCTTGAAAAATCCCAAACGTTCCAGAGGACCCTCAGGAGGTTCAGTGAGCTTGTCACTGGCCCTACAGGGTCCCACATTGGTCCTCTGCCCTGAGGTGCACACAGGCAGGCACCCAGCCTTGTGTCCCTCGACGTCCCATCAGCAGCCCCTGTCCCAGCAGAGGCCTCAGTCAAAGCCCCTGGAACGTCTCAGGTGGGACCCTCCTGAGCCACCCAACCCACGTGTCCCACCCGCCATAGTCCTGGACGTGGAGTGAAGTCCAGGGCTTTGCTCAGTCCCTCTAACGAGCAATCGTGGGGCACCATTTTCTATCAAGTCATGGTGCTGGGTCGAGAAGAAGTGCGCCTCTCCATTCTCCTCCTCCTGGGCTGCAGGGAAGTTAGGAACACTTCCCTTGTCTGTCCTCCATCATGAGACACAGGGAAGTCTATCCCGGAACCCGATCACTGTATTTGAGGACTGTCCTGGAGATCCTCCAGGGATGGCACCAAACAACAAAATGCAGGAGAGCCCGATGACTGATGACCCCTAACCCCAATGAGAAATTCAGAATGCAAACAACTGGTTCCAGGACAGACTCAGCAGCCAAGGACACAGGCTCCATGGCCAAGCTGGTGAGAATTCTGCCGGTTTCTTCCTGGGCCCGTGAAGCCCATGATGTGGCCCCTGTCCGAGGGAGCCCACACTCTACCAGAGGGGTTGGGCGGCCACTGGAGAAACGGTACAAGGCTGGGGACTCTTACCCACGTTGGCCAAGGTCAGGTGCAGCCGGCCCTTCACCACCGAGTGGACACCGATGGGCTTGACGCGGCCAAATCCCAGCATGTCTCCACTCACCACCATGGTGTCCTGCTCGTATTCGGTTGCCACAACCTCAAGCTCATGGGAGGCCTGCACAGCTGGCCGGCCTTGGCGGAGGAGGTGCTGCAGAGGAGAAAAGCGCGCTCAGAGGCTGGAGCCAGCCCCAAGGACTGGAAACCCACCAGGAAAAGCCACTGTGGACAGGAGGTAGTGTGCACAGCAGGACAAGACCCTGCACCCCACTGGGGGGTGAGGGGGCGGCGAGCCAGGGGCCAGCGTCTTAAAGCAAGAGTCCTTATTACTGGGGTCTTTTTCACAAAGTCTTAAGTAAAGTATAACTGGATTTACCCACTGAATAAACACCACTGGGCCCTGCGAAGGCATAAGTGGGTCTGGCAGCTGCCCTGGAGGACCCTCCCCTCCACAGGAACCAAGAGCAGGAAAGAGGGCAGCCAAGCAACACAAAGGACTCTGAGCCAAGCGTGTCTGGGACAGCGAGGAATCCAGGACGGAAACCTGAACCAGACTCCAGGAGGAAGACAGGCCATGCACAGAGAGGGCAGGGGAGGCAGAGAAGGCCGGGGAGGCAGGCAGGCCAAGGGCACAGGGTACAGGGTATGATGCCTCCCCCATCTCCCTGGGCCAGGGAGCATGGCTGGGGTAGGGGCCTGTGGGGCCCAGGGAGGGGCCGTGGGGCATGAGGGGCCCGCCGGGAGCCCTGGGCTGGTGTTTGTCCCGGATCTGCATGCCAGGCCAAGGTTGCTCGGGGCAGGGTGGGAGCAGGAAGCCTCAGACCCAGCAGTGCCTCAGCAGGACTTTCCTGGCCATGGGCTCCTCTGCTGATCAGTCGACGGCTCAGTACTCTGCCTGAACACCAATGCTGTGAGGCGTGTGGGGGATGACAACGGCCTCACAGCTGCACCCCAGGCGTGGCTGGGACACTCTTCCCCGTGTGCCCTCTCTGCTCTGGTGCTTCCTCTCACATAAGCAGCAGTGTGGGAGCAGATGAGGTTCCAGAATTTGTAATTCTCCAATTTCTACAGCAACAAAAGTGCCTGTCTCTGCGAGTGAGATGCCAGACCTGACCCTTCCCTTGTGGGTCTGGGGGCTTCTGGTCGCCACAGACCCTGCTCGCTTTGCCACATTCGTCTACACTGCATACGATCACTGCATAGACATCCATGATTCCGGAAACTCAGTCACTGGGAGACTGAGAAGATATGAGAAGTCTCCTTTGGAGAACAGCCAACAAATATAAGAAACCATGTCGGCCTCTCCAGGAGGCAAGGAAATGCAAATGGAAACAAGGCACCATTTTCCTCCCAAATCATTATCGAAATGGCCAATGGCGACTGGTTTAAAGGCTGACGCCCTGGGCATGGGATGCAGTGCCCTCTGTCTTCAGGAAGTGCAGGCCTGGCTGAGCCTTTGGGCCAAACCCCCATCTGGCTCTGCACGCCTGCAGCCCTCATGTTGGCGCCGTCAGAATTCTACTTCCGGGAACGTGTCACTAGGGAGAAGAGGATGGTAAAGAGCACAAGCTCCAGAGACAGAATGAGGCTAAGACTCCGTCCTGATTATCATCAGCGTGATCCTGGGCCTCTGTTTTCTCCACCAGAAACAAGGATAAAAACAGAACTGCCCCAGGGCTGGGCTGGGGGTCACACTGAAGGCAGCACAGGAGCTGTCTGTCCCTGGCGGAAACTCTTCTCATCGCTGTAGCAACGTGTTACGGCCAGTATCCCCAGGAAATCAGCTAAAGATGGGGGTAAAATTGAGCTTCAAGAAGTCCACAGCAGTGATTAGCAGAAGGAAAAGCCACCGCAGCGACCCGCAACAGGAAAAGCTCAAACAAGATGAAAGCTGGCCCCGCCTGCGGAAAGTGAGTCCACCAAAGGCTAACCAGAGCATCCTAACTCTCCCGGGAGCTGGAGTCAAGAGGATTCTCTCTGATCATCTCAGTTTTCATGTTTTCTACCTAAGTTTTAAAGCTACAAGATTCTATTTTAGAAAAGTGAAGCTTTATATGTAATTGATTCAAGTCTATGTCAACAAGTGTGATGGCACTTGTTTAAGGGGCTCTTCGTGTAGGAGGAGACCAAATGGCTTCCGTCTCCATATGGGACAGCAAAAAGGGGGTACAAGGTTCGGCTGGGCATGACGGGGGAGCCACTGCCGCCCCACACGTGCCCAGCGGGGCCCGGCTCTACCTCCCACACCGCCTGCCTCCTTCACTCCTCTCCACCATGCAGCGCCTGCTGGGGTTGAGGCCTGTGCTAGAGACGCTGCGGTGTCAGCACCCAGTCCTGCCTTGGGGACATCAAAGCCAGCATGGGAGACAGACAAGCAAGGGCCACGATGACCCTGCGGGGCCCATGCCATGACCCTGATAGGAATAGAGGCCCAGGGTGAGGCATGAGAAGAGCAGCCAAGCCCTGCGGAGTCCCTGCCACCTGCAGACCCCACCCTGAACGTTCTGTGCACCGCCCACCACCCTGGGGGGCATCCCCCTCCTCTAGAAGTCACAGGGAGGGGGATGGAGCCTGGATCAGTCAGTCAGACACAGCAAGCCAAGAGCAGACCAGAGAAGAGCAGCTGGAAGAACTCCCAGACGCTCACATCCCCCGACCCCGAGAGCACAGTGCGGCTGAAGCAGCAGAGGAGTCGCGCTTCTCAGGGGTCAGCAACTGCTGGAGAGGATGAGGCTATAAGACAGGAAGCCCCGGGGATTCAGCCGTGTCAGGAATCCAGGGGGAAAGCAGCTATGTGGCACTCAAGAAAAGTGGGGAAATCTCAGAGACTCAGGGCCTGCAAAAATGATGCCACATCCTCTCCCAGCTCCGCCCCATGGCCTGAGAGGAGAAGTCTCAGGACACCATGGAAGTGTGTGAAACTGGCCCCAGGCCTTGGCCCAAGAGTTGCTATGGGGTCCCCGTCATACAATGGAGAAGGCTTGGGAAGAATCCCAGGGAGGACGAGTGAAAGAATCCATGGATTAAGGTTTTAGTATACAAGGAGAATGGAAAACAACAATTAGTAAAAGAGATTCTAATTTTCATTAGAATGAGAAAAGCATGACACATGTCACTGACCTTAGGAATCAGGTCACCCTGCATGCCCCAGTCATTCGCGTATCCATTCATTCATCCTCAACCCACCTCGGATGTACCTGCCCTCACCACATTCACCACATGGAGGGAGATGAAGTGACACTGCCTGGTAGGTCAGTGTGCAGGAGAAATAGATAACTGAGTTTGATCTTAAGAGCTTCCTGAGCAAACAACTAGCATTATAGAATTCGGACAGTGAAAAATCTTTTCCTTTCAAGAAACAGAGAATGCAGCACTATTTTTTAATTAGTGAACAAAGAAGGCCAACCAAGTCCTGCACAGGGCAGCGCCCACTCCTTCCAAGCAGACAGATGCTGGAAGTGTGACTTGTCCCGTGAGGGACGCAGCACCCACTGTGCCTGTCCTTCAGGAGAGCCACTACCTTCATCTGGACGGCGGCAGATCCGATGAGCAGCAGGGAGTCTCCATCCCAGACGTCGATCTGCAGGGTCTGCACGGCGAGGTAGTGGGCAAAGCAGCGCCGCTCACCTGGCTTCAGGAACCCAGGGCCCACCATGTACCTCAGTTGGAAGCCAGGAGACCCTGTCAAAGAGGCCCCAAAGGAGGCCAAAAGTAATTGGAGTCATTCATCATCTTTACACTTGGAAGAGATTTCGGCTCTGGTCATGATTACTAATTTCTGCTTCTGTCATAGCTACAGTTAATAGACACATTAATCAAAAACATCATAAAATATCCAAATTAACAGAATGAAGAGTCATGTTCAGAAGAACTACATTTCTTTCCCATAGAAACAATCAACTCCTCCCAAAATAAGATTTATGGTTTCACCAAGTCCTTGTAATAGCCTATGATGGATGGGAACAAATGTCCTTATGAGGCTGGCTGGGGAGTTTATTATTCTGGGCATGCAGAATTTAAGAAAAAATGTAGTCTACATCTGCTGTCAAAACTGGCATGTTCACACGCACAGGCAGAGCTCAAACCGACATCAGGCTTAGAAACAATGTGTGGGACAGCCAGCAGCCCCTCTCCTGGCCCTAAAGCAGGACTGCACCTGCCCCATGGGTATCCCGGGCTCCTCCCGTGGGGTATGCCCTGGTCATCAGGCTAAGAGATGGGAACTGGACTGTGGCCCCTGCCTTCATCTTCTTGAAGTGGCATTATCATTAATTCTAAATTGACAAAAATGCCATTGGAACCATCTTTAGTTAAAGTTCGAGGAACAGCAATGCTGGGAAGAATTTCAAAACAACATTATCTCTCTTTCTATCAATAATGGCGACAACATTCCCACAGCCCCCAATGAGCAGAGGAAGGAATGAATGTTTACTCAGTACCTCCAGTGCCAGGCCCCAAGCCAGGCTGAAAGTTGGCCACAGGCCCTCTCCACCCAGGCTCCAGCCACCTCAAGCCCCACAGGATGACCACAGACCACATTCCATCTGCATTTCTCAAGACCAGAGGACAAGGAGTGAGCGCAATGTGTCAGGACAGGGGACTGAGGGGGAGTGAAAAGTGCAGGGCCCAGGGTGGGCCCCAAGGAGGTGGAGCAAGGACCCACTGCTCAGGCCCAGCACTAGCCACAGCAGGAGCTCACAGGGGCATCTTGGGGCAGAAAGGCAAGTAAGGAATCTGGACGAAGACCAAGGAGGAGATGGCGATTAACATCACCCAAAGGCAGGCATGTCCCCAGTGTGGCACCTCAGAGGTGATCAGCCACACGGCCCCCACCCCTGCCCTGGCCCCACCTATCCTGGACTGTGGCATCTAGTGAGAGATCAGGACACAACCACGCACAGATGGGAGCCTGGTGGCACTTCTCGCAGGCGCAGCAGGCCCTGGAACAAAGACCCATGAGCACGAAAGCCTGGCTCAGGGCACAACCTGCACTGACCTGGGCTGCAGAGGAAGGAGTTGCCCAAGCCCTCCCTCCATACTGGCCATGCCTTTGCAGGCCAACTCCCCAGTGATACCCTGGGTACGCTGCAACCCTACCTCAGCCTCTCCCATGCCACAGACCCTCCTAGAGCTCTAGGCACTTGACCCAACGGGACCCTCTGTTTTGTCTCCTGGGGAGCTCCTTCCAACGTCCTGCTGGGCCGGCCCCCACTCCATCACCACTATACCCCAGCACTGCCAGGGCCTTTCAATGCCACCATTAATTCATTCACTCAGCAAATAAATGACTGCGCCCCCACCACGCAGGAGGCCCTGCACAGGGTAGTGCTGGGAGAACTGGACAAGCAGGGCCCCACCCTTAAGGAGCTCAGGGTCTCAAGGACAGAGACACTGATCCCAGAGCTGACAGCATGCTGAGAGCTCTTGGAGTGGGCGGCAGGGGGTGGCGCATGCTAGGCAAGGGGCCATCCTGGTCTGGGCTCCTCTGATCAGCCTCCCAACTCTCCCCACCGCAGCCTCAGACCTTTCCCCTCCCTGTCTAGCTGGGACAAGAGGCTCCTCTGTGGCCACCCCTGAGGTCTAAGCTCCCCACAGTCCACCCTATGTCATTTCCATCCCACTCAGAAGGAAGCCGGCCTCCAACTGAACTAAGAAGACTACCAGGGCAGTGGCCCTGTCCTCCCCAAGCCCACCTCCTGCGCCCCCGTCACAAACACCGCGCCCCAGCCTGGATAGAATCCTCACTGCTTCTGGGGTTGAGGAAACAGAAAACATAGTAATGGTAGAAACTAACCACTCTCCATTCAAAGGCAGATCCAGGCAATGACGAATGAGTAACAATCTAGAAGACCAGAGTAGCCAACTCCCACGGTGGCAGGGATGCGGGGTGCAGGGATTCATCTTAACGCAGCACCCCAGTGACAGAGAAAACAACTTTTCAAGTGTATTTGGAACATTAATATAAATTTACCATATATTAGGCCACAAAAAACTACGCTCCATAAAGTAGAAATAATACAAATAATATTCTCCGAACATAATGCAATAAACTAGAAATTAATACACTAGCCTGGGCAACATGGCGAAACCCCATCTCTACAAAACACACAAAAGTCACCTAGGCATAGTGGTGCATGCCTGTAGTCCCAGCTACTCATGAGGCTGAGGCCCATCGCTTGAATACAGGAGATGGAGGTTGCAGTGAGCTGAGATCGCGCCACTGCACTCCAGCCTGGGCTACGGAGCAAGACCCAGTCTCAAAAAAGAAAAAAAAAACAACAAAAAAAGGTAAAATTTTTTAAGAAACAAATTTGCAAATAAATAACTTTCTGTCAAAGGGCAAACACAATCGAAAAAGATTTTCTGGAAACAGTAATAATAATGAAAACACTACTTATTAGTATCAATAATCATAAGGCAGTAATCACAGGAAAATTCATAGCCTTGAATCCTGTATATCCATACAAACAAAGAATTAAGATAAATGAATTAAGCACCTCAAAAAAAAAATAGGGAAATAGTAAAGTATACCAAAAATCAAGGAGAAATGAGAGGACAGTAAAGATAAACACAAAATTTAATCAAATAGAAAACAAAACAATAGCAAAACCCATATGACATAAACTTTAAAACTCTTCAGAAAGACGCACAGTGGAAATGAACAGATGGAAAGGCAGTCTTCTCTGGGACCACCATCTCCTAGCTCTTGGGTGTAAATTCTCCCCATGTGATGGAATGCCCACAAGGATCCTAAAAAGTCCTTACGGAAAACTAAATAAGCAAGAATACCCAGGAAAACCCTGCAAGGACGATCAACGTGGTGAGCACTCAGCTTGCTAGAAATTCAGGCAATGAAAGAGGCTCTGACTGAAGGCACAGTCCCAGTGACCACAGACACAGCCTAGTGCAGAGGACGCAAACCACAGACCGAGGCCAAGCTCAGCACAGATATAAGAAATCGTTTTTATGTTTTTAATGAGTTGTAAACAAAAAGAATAAAATGTGACAGACAACACAAGCGGCCCAGGAAGCCTAAAATATTTACTAGCTGGCCCTTAACAGAAAATAGTTTGGGCCAAGTCTAATGGAACAAATTAGAAAATACAGAAATAACCCCAAATGCGTGAAGAATGTTGGTCCATGATGATGGTTGCTCTCAAGTCACCAGAAAACAGACAGGTTTTTATCAACAGGCATGGGGTCTGCAGGATAGACATGGGAGACAAAAAAATAAAAAAATAAAATTTCTTAAAAAAAATTTACCACTTTTTTTATTTTTGTGTTTATGTCTAAACATAAACAAAACCTGCAAGTCCAAGAACATGAGCCTAAATCGCTCTGTAAAGCGGGAGAGGAGAAAGCCTTTCTGTCTATGACTCAGTAATTCAGAAGCAAGAAAAGACTGATACATTCGACTACATTTTTAAAAACCCTTTTATATATCAAAGCCCACCATAAGCAAAGTAAAAAGACAAATGAAAAGTAGGAAAACACATTTGCAGTTATTACTGTATCACGAAGGTTCTTCTCCCTAATAAGAGTTCCCCAGAACAGAAGACGAAATAGACTAAAAACATGATAGAATAATGGGGAAAGATATGAATAGAAGTTTGGAGATAAAGACAAATACAAAAGATACTCAACTTGACTCATCATAAAAGAAATGCAAATTAAAACTGCACTAAGGGCCAGGCGTGGTGGCTCACACCTGCAATCCCAGCACTTTAGGAGGCCGAGGCAGGCCAGCACTTTGGGAGGCCAAGGTGAGCGGATCACGAGGTCAGAAGTTCAAGACCAGCCTGGCCAACATAGCGAAACCTCGTCTCTACTAAAAACACAAAAATTAGCTGGGCATGGTGGCTCATGCCTGTAATCCCAGCTACTCAGGAGGCTGCGGCAGGAGAGTCACTTGAACCCAGGAGGTGGAGGTTGCAGTGTGCCAAGATTGCGCCACTGCACTCCGGAGAGCTTGGGCAACAGAGTAAGACTTCATTTCAAACAAAACAAAACAAAAAAACTGCAATAAGATGGACTTCACATCTATGGGACTGTAAAGCTACCAGCCGTTAACGCCCCATTGTGACAGCGAGCAAGAGGAAAACAGCAGCCCCGGGGATTGCCAGTGGAGCCCCAGGCGGCGGCACCCGGCACAGGGTGCGGGGCAGTGTCTGTCAATACCAGTGAAGCCTATGATTCCATAATCCCCTTTCCAGAACCAGAAAGAACCAACTGCTGAGACAGCGAAATACTGGAAATGATGCAAATGCCTATTAGGGTGGTTGTGCTGAGTAAACAGCAGCACAACCACCCCACAGAGCATGACGCAGCTACCGTAGAAACGAGCACAGCTGACATCTGTGCAGCCCACAGAGCATGACGCAGCTACCGTAGAAACGGGCACAGGTGATGTCTGTGCAGCCAAACTTGGGCTATGACATTAACTGAAAAAAGCAGGGAGCAGAAGAGTGTATTTGGTACATTATCACTGAATTTGAAAACAGGGAAAATAAAATGTAAATGTTTGCTTATTTTTGAAAAAACAAATCAATAAAAACACTGGAAGGATCAGCCAGAAACGAAAAGTCTGGTTACCGTTAGGGGGCTGGGCAGGGGGTGGAGCCCGCGGGGATAAGGGAGGCAGGAGCCCTGAGCACACACTGGACTATGGGGTTCAACTTTCA